CCATAGATTGCTCCCACATTGTGGGTAATCTGCTTAGCGGGATCGAGAGGAGGTATTTGCTGTATGGGTTGTGGTTGTTTGTCAAGGACCGGTTGAGCAGGATATTGTGTATTATCTCTCGGTTGCCAGCTGTTTCCTCGGTTGTCTCTCCGAGGTCCCCGATTGTTGTTTCGTCTGGGGAAGTTGCGAGGACCGCCGGGTTTCTCTCGAGGGTTGCGGATATCTCCTCGAGCAGCTCCTTGCGTGTTCTGCACATATTGCTGGAATTTGCCAGACTTTACTCCCGCTTCAATTTCTCGCTTGAGCTCTCGGCAATCCTCCGTGTCATGCCTATGATCCTTGTGATACTCACAGTACTGATTCGTGGACCTATTCGGGTTGTGAGTTAGTGGCTTCGAAGTTGGAAACTCGTCCTTATGGATTTGGAGTATTTCCCGTCGAGGCTTTATCAATGGAGTCAGTAACCTGTCGAGCCTGGGCAGCGAGGGTTTATTCTCAGCCTGAGGTTTATATTTGTCCTTCCCTCCTCGCTCTCCTGTGATTGAGAAGGATTCCTGGGAATTTTTTAGTGTTTGTTCCCATTGGATATAGCTTTCTACCGTGGCCCACATCTCTTGGGTGTTCTGTGGAGGTTTAGTGGTTAACTTTACTCACAGGGGGGGCGGTCTTCCCCCAGGGATTGAGTCCTTGGATGAAGCTATTCCTTACGTCTCTGTATCGAGATTGTCAATTTGGAGAGACTCACGGGTGAAGCGGCGATGGAAATCCGAAAGGCTTTCATTTTGTCCTTGTCTTATGGAGGATAAGTCAATGGACATTTTCGTGACCTGCTTACTGAGGAAAAACCTGGTGGCTAGTTTTACTGTGAGATCCTCGAAGCTGTCAATACTTCCCTCTGGTAATTGTCCGAACCATCGTTGTGCCTGCCCGTCCAAGAATGATGGTAAAGCCTTTGCCATGAAATCTAGGGATGCATTGCGAATTCTCATGACTTGCACGTATTTATTGAGAAATCGTTGAGGATCAGAGTCCCCTGTGTAACAGGTGAAGTCTTTGGGAAAGTCAAAATCTTTGGGTTTTGGACAGTCTCGAATCCTGGGGATGAAGGGACTCCTGTCAACGATCATTCCTATCATCCTTCGCATCGAATCTCGAATCGAGGGATCTTTATTGCTCCGGTTATCTTGACCCCGGGGAGGAGGGCCTTCTCCTCGACGGTGGCCATGTTGTGATTTCTCGCGCGTCTGCTTTGGTTCCAATCGAGAGTGGGCATTTCTTCTCGGGGGTTCCCACTCTCTCTTGGACAATTCCTCGACGCTGGGTGATTGTCGGCGATCTTGTCTATGAGGTTGTTTCTTCTGTTCGTGCTCTTGTGCAAACTGAATAATCGCCTGATAAACCACTGGGTTTGTCTTTTCGAGTGCTTCCCAGAAAGTATCACCGGGGGTTTCGGAACTTTCATCGGGGGAAACTTCTCGAGAGGGAGTTTCTTTGCGAGTTCTTTCCTCCCCTCCGTTTGTTGCTGGACGCTTGCCCCTTCTGATTTCGAGGAGGCTCAGGGTTCTCTTCGCTTCTTTTTCCTCGATTAATTCCTCGATCTCCCGTTTCGTTGGGTCAGGAAGACCTAACAAGCAGCAGCGTCTGTATTCTTCAAGCATATATTTCTTTTTCCTTTGGTTGAGGGAATTTTCATCCTTCAACTTTTTTAGTTCCGTTTCGATCTCGGCCAACCGCTGGTTTTGGTATGGATCGGGGTTTTCGCGGTGACGATTCTGATCGGTCGGTTTGACAGGAGTGGTTTCTTTTTTGTTCCGGCGATCATTCCTTTTTCGTTTTTGCCTCCATTGGAAGTGTGCCAAAGTTTCGCCGTCTTCAGGGCTCGCCTGTCTGCCGGTTGACGTAGCACTGGAAGCGACTTGAAAAGGTTTTGAAAAAAAACTTTGAAGAAGCTCGGTGACACAAACCCTAGTTTTCGGGTCCCACTGGGCATGCCACTTGACGATACTTGGATTTGTATCTCCGGTATCGGGTGGAACTCCGTCTAGGGTTTCCTGCAAAACAGAGCCTCGGGCGTCTCCCGAGGGTAGACACTCCGAAGCTTAAGTTAGAAAGTAGGGTTGTATGTATGCTGATATGATAATTAAGATTGCGTACCTCTAGTGCGGAATAAAGGTCTCTATTTATAGACTTATTAGGGATCCGATTCCTACTAGGGTTAACCATAATCAACCACCACATCAGGCGGTCTTGACCCTAAGGCCAAGTAGTGGGCCGGCCCGTTGATGGTGATGGACCTGGACTCATCAATTTCAAACCCTAAATTTTTCAAATTGAGATCCAAAAATAGGACCTAATATTCCGCCAAAAATTTTAAAAACAAATTACCTTTTAAAATTTTACTTTGAAAACAAGAAACTAAATTTTAGAAAAGTTTCCTAATTCAAAAACCCTAATTTCTGAAAAAATATATGTAACTACTTCTTTAATCGAAAGACTATAATAAACAAGTAACTTACCAAATAACTTTTAGGAAATCCCTAATTTCTCTTTTATTATTAGGCAATACACACAAATAATATCTCGTTCCTTTTTAGTATTTCCTAAAGAAAGTCAACGCACACATATACACATATGCACAAAAATCTCTTTTCCACTTAGAATAGGAAATAAATTTTTGGTCACCACACAATTAACAATTTCTAAATTTTATTCAATAAAAAACAAAGTCAAAAACCTTTACTCAATTGCTAAAAGCCTTCTTCAATATTGCAATTGAACTATCAAAAATATCAATCATGCATACAAGCAAATATATTTCATCCACGAAGCTCGAAAAACCAAGCAAATGAAAACCACATAATGAAGACAATCGAAAACCCTAAGAACCTAATTTTTGAAAAACCAATTTTTTAAAACCATAAAACAAACAAAATATAAATTAGATACCTTTAACACAAGTAATTGCCAAAATTCGTCATGGAAACTCTTATACGTGCAAACCTAGAGTTGAAAAATTCTAAAACTTAATATCTTCATTCGCAAGACTCAAATATTACCACATAAGCTACATAGAGATAAACGCTAAAAACCAAAATTTCAAACTAATTGAAATCTAATCTCCATAAGAAAGGTCCCATTATTGTTGAAAAAGACTTCAAACAACTTTGTAGTAACCCAAAAGTTCAAGAACATTTTGATTAATCTTCAAGTTATCTTGCAAAATATTGAATCAAAGCTTTTAGAAAACTTCACATCAAATCACATAAAGTCGACGAACAACTTGATAGAAAAGTCAATGAAACACCTCATAAATCGACAAGCAACCTGACAAGGAAGCCGACGAAACACACAATTAAGGTCGACAAACTCCTAAAAGCCGACACAAGACTGGACACAAAATACCTAATAGTTTTCATGAATATTTCATTGATTGGGAAACAACAAACCCTAATTTTGCTCTTTTTCAATTCAAAAGAACCAAAGTCAAGAAGGAAATATCACACATCCATATTATTTTTTTAAGCAAGAAAAGGGGATGAAAACGATGGTCAGGTTCCAACAGACTCAAAAAATACTCAAGGGGCATATCAAAGAGGTATTTTTTGAGCCAGCCAGTGTTAGATGATACAATGCACCTAGGCCTGGCGAATGGGCGGGTTGGGTCGGTGGCAGGTTGGGTCAAGGTAGGTTTGGGAGTAGGCGGGTCAAGACCCCAACCCGCCATAGGCGCGGGTCAGAACGGGTTAGGTCAAGACGGGTTAGCGCGGGTTGTGGGTCAACCCACGGGTCATGGCTTATTTTTTTTTGGTTTTTATTCGGTTAATTTACAAATTTTAAATTTTTTGAAAAAATAACATACATTAATTTTAAAATTAAAATTTTCTAACTTACACTTGTATTTTAAAACTCGTTAGATTTTAAATTTTCACGTTTCGAGCCAAGTTTAGCTGGGTCGACCTAGTAACTGGATCACGAAATACTGGTAGAATTGGGACTTTTTTTCAAATAAAATCTAAATTTATTTTTTAAAACTCTTTTCACTTTAAATTTTCACGTTTCGAACCAAGTTTAATTGGGTCGACCCAGTAACCATGTCACGATATGCGGGCCGAATTGGGAGTTTTTTTTTCAAATAAAATCTAAATTTATATTTTAAAACTCTTTTGACTTTAAAATTTTACGTTTCGAGCCAAGTTCAACTGGGTCGACCCGTGAGCCGATCTGGGTCGACTCAGTAACCGGGTCACGATATGCGGGTTGAATTGATTTTTTTTCAAATAAAATCTACATTTATTTTTTATAACTCGTTGGACTTTAAATTTTCACGTTTCGAGCCAAGTTTTACTGGGTCGACCCAGAAACCGGGCCACGATACGCGGGTCGAATTGGGAATTGTTTTCAAATAAAATTTACATTTATTTTTAAAAACTCGTTGGACTTTAAATTTTCACGTTTCGAGCCAAGTCACGATACCCAATTCGAATTTGATTTTCTATATGAAATAAAGCGCACACTTGTATTTTATAGCTCATTGGACTTATTTATGTACGTATTGCGTAGGATTTTGAACTGAATTTTATTTTGAGTGAACCTCAAAACAGGTCATCAACCTTTAATGTATTTTCACTCTAGGTCATCAATCAAATTTATTTGTATCACAGGTTATCCTACTAAAGTTTTAATCCATTTCAGGTTATTCTGTTAAATCTAGCCGTGAAATCATAACGGAACCTCAATTTTCACATGCGCTGCACGTGATTTCGGTCAAAGGGCAATTTAGTCTTTTTTACTTTTCGGGTTCCAGGACACAAGTTCAATTTACATTATTAATATTGTGTGTTTTCCCAGACAAACGAAAAGCCATCTTCTCGGTGGCTTAACCCATTCAAAAATCAAAACCCGAAGAAAAAGCTCCTTCTGGAAAACCTTAGTTCATAGAAACCCTAGTTCATAGAAACTCTAGTTGATGTTGTTTGAAAATCTAAATTAGCGTCAATAGGATGCCACCCAGAGCAAAGACAACACCGAGAAAGAAGACTCAAGGACGGAAAACTAGGGAGAGCTCCGTTCCCATTCCGATAGTCCTACATGATGATTGGGAGATTCGGAAAGAAGGGAATGATTTTGATCCATTCTCGGATTATGGTATGTCTTCTAGATTTTGAATCCTTTTATAATATTGTTTGGGTTTAATGTTTCAGGTAGTATATATAGAAATTATCGATTGTAAATTTTAAATTCGTTTTTGGGGTCAACTGTTTGGGTAGGCGGGGACCAAAGATAGCAGCGAGTGTAAAAGTTCAATTTTTAAGTTTGAATAATATGTTAAAAGACTTCAAAGAATAGAGCTTTAGTTTGTTTGAAGCACGAAAGATCCCTTTCCTGTCTGACTTTTGCAAACATATGTCCTACTTGACCCTTTTCATTTTGTCTGTTTATGATAGAATATGTGTTTGTTGAAAAATAATAGAAAATCTAATTATAGTAAATTTTATTTTGTATTTTTTGCAGGCCATAATCTCGTATATTTCACAATAAGACTCCATCATGGCGGCAAATTCTCTGATGGCAAATACGTTTTTGGGAAGGTTGCACATGTTGACTTTTGTCATCAAGAAGAATTTAATTTGCATGAATTAAGTGCAATTATGGTGAGATTGTACTCTAGGGAGACCATATGTGCCTTCTACTATGTGGAACCTTTGAAGGATTTGAGTAGTACGCTGTATGAATTAACGGAAAATGCTCATATGAAGGAATTTTTGAAGGTTTTGGGAGGTCAAAGGATGATAGATGTGTATGTTTGCCACATGACAGAAGCTGATGCAAAAGAGAAGTTGATCCGGGACGAAGAGAAAATGTTTGCTGAATTTATGAAAGAAGAATATGGTTTTGTGAAAGCAGATAACTTGTATATCAAGAAACAATCAGCAGTTGTGATTGAAGAGATTGGCAAGGAGAGACATTTTACCGCAAAACATGTTACCCCAAAATCTTGGAGACAAAAGACGCAATCGGCTCTACAGTTGATATGTTGGAAAGACAGTGATGACAGTATTGAAGATAAGGAGTTCCTAGATTTCCTTGAGTTGCCTTTTAAGAAAGACAAAGATACTGTTGTTTCTGCAAATGGTGATGATGAGTCGGTAGTTGGTGGAGGTGCAGTGGAGGAGAATGTAAGCGAGGGTGATGATGGTACTGTTGAGGAGAATGTTAACGACTCTCTTATTGAGGCTGCGGTTCTTCAAACTTTTGTTGAGCCTCCAGAGGCTGAAAAGGTCAGGGAGACTTCAGTTCAGCATGCTGAAACTTCTGTTACTGCTCCAGTGACTGAAGAGGTTAGCGAGGGTACGAATGATCCCGGTGAAATTTCTGTGGATGCTACTAGTATTAAAAGTATTGCTGCTGTTCAGAATGATTCAACAAGGTTGAAAGATGATGATGCTATTAATATTGATGCTGTTAATACAGGGTTGGACAGTGATGATGTTGTTGACACTGATGCTGTAGGGTCTGAAGATGTTGCTGCTGTTAACCCATCAGATGCTGCAAGGTCTAAGATGTTGCTGTTTTTCCAAGTAACGGCGGAGAATCTGAGAACGAACCTCCACTTGATGGATATGTACCTGCTGCATATGTGGAGCCTTCACTTGTGAATACATCTTACCAGACAATGTCTTATTAGATGACTTTGATGAAACAGAAGTTGATCCTATTAAATTGGTGAGACATTTGTGTAGAGATGAGATATTATTCTCTGAATACCTGTAGACACTTATGCAACCAAGTGACGTTGACATGGATGGACATGTTGGAGATGATCGTCAGTGTGGTACAAGTGGAGTTGACATGGATGGACATGTTGGAGATGATCATCAGTGTGCTACAAGTGGAGTAGACTTTGATTCAGAAGAAGTTTATGCAGATGATGGAGATCATGTGATAGGCAATACAGTTGGTGGAACTTCCTCTAATCCACCAACTGAAGAGTTTGTTAACCATGATGAAGCTGCTGGTAATGATGGTGAAGCTGGTGGGAGCCATAGTCAACCCATCAGATTTGACGGTGAAAATGGTGACATGTCGGGAAAAACTACAGGCACCAAAAACATCAGAGCAAATTATGTACGCCAATGTCCTAAACATCTAGAACCAAATGACATGAGAGAAGATAATGTAAATGTGGGGCTACATGACAACCCAGCTTCTGATGATGAATGCAACGGAAAACAGGTGAAGTACCCTGCATCCAAGAAAATGACATCACTGCCAAATTGGAAACCTGGTGAAAATCTTGGAGACCAAAAAAAGGTTTGGCAGCTTTTTGGTGACTATACAGTTCTAACTGGAAGGCCGATTTACATGTATACCAACGACGGAGTGAGATGTAGAATCAAGTGCAAAGAGCCATGCACATGGTTTGTGTATGCAAGAATCATAAAGGCCTTTAACCCTCATGACTATGTGTTGGTGTCTATGAAGGATGTTCACATCAGCGAGTGTGAACCGGATTGGGAGAATCGGAAGATTAGAGCAAAATGGTTGGCAAATAGGTATACGGAGAAGATCAAAGCTGATCCCAAAATCCCAGTGAAAGCTATAAGGCAATGTATGGATGAGGATTTTACATCTGAGATAACCAGAACAAAGGCATATAGGGCCAGAACAATTGCCCTTGAAGGAATTTATGGGAAGACGGCTGATCAGTAAAAGAGGCTATATGACTATAAAGAGGAACTACTTCGGACACACCCTGATAGCACAGTTGAGATACATTATGAGGATTTCAGGGAACCTGGAAAAAACCCTAGATTTATGAGAATTTATTGCTGTTTGGGACCATTAAAAAGGGGTTTCAGGAACCACTGCAGGCCCATCATATGTTTAGATGCATGCTTCTTAAGGGGTAGCTATAAAGGACAGCTATTCACTGCCGTAGGAACCGACCACAACAATGGATGGTGGCCCATTGCTTGGGCTGTTTGTGAAGCTGAGGTGAAAGATTAGTGGATGTGGTTTCTGGAGCTACTTAAGAATGACTTGGATGCTGAGGGTGCAACTTTCTACACCTTTATGTCTGACCAACAAAAGGTGAAAATCCTTTCCTAAACATGGTTTTTGTTTACGCATGATAATCTGTAATGGATTTTTTGATTTCTTTGATGACCTGTAATGGAGTATTTTATATTTTTGATAACTTGTAATGGAGTTTTTTGATTTCTTTGATGACCTGTAATGGAGTATTTTATATTTTTGATAACTTGTAATGGATTTTTTTATTTCTTTGATGACCTGTAATGAATGTTTTACATGGTTTTTGGTTTTGAGCAGGGTCTTGGAATTGCTGTAACAGATGTGTTTCCCGGATGTGAGCATAGGTATTGTGTGCAACACATATACAACAACTATAAGAGAAAGCACCCAGGGGAAACCCTAAAAGTTTTTTTGTGGGGTATAGCTTCAAGTACAACAGAGGAGATGTATGAGCAGAAAATGCAGGCGCTCAAAGCATACGACTTTCAGGCTTACAAGCACTTAGAACAGGTTGCCCCTAAAAGGAGATGGGTAAAAGCCTTCTGGTCTACCCACACAAGATGTGACACTCTGGTTAATAATATGTGTGAAACTTTGAATGCTAAGCTGGTAGAAGCTAGAGAACTGGCCATCTTATGCATGTTGGAAGAGGTGAGACTGCTACAGTACACAAGGATACAAAAAAGGGGTGAATGGATTGAGTCCTATCCATTTGCTGTACCCCCTTTGATCAAGGAAATCATAGATGAAACGGTGAAACTGGCCAGGCCATGGAAGGCACTATCAAATGGGGCAGGTGCATTTCAAGTCAAAGGACCAACTGGCCAATTTGTTGTGAACTTGGATAGAAGAACTTGTAGCTGTAGACTGTGGCAGTTGAGAGGCATTCCTTGTGTCCATGCAATACCATGCATTGTTAGAAAGAAAAGGAACATCACAGACTTCGTTGATGATTGCTACAAAAAGGAAGATATGGTCAGCTTGTACAAGAATGTATTGTATCCAATCAATGGAATGGATATGTGGCCCAAGTCAGAAATGTTTCAGCTTGAACCTCCAAGAACAAAACGCCAACGTGGTAGACCAAGGAGAAATAAGACAGAAGAACTATCAGTTAGAATTTTCGAGGATGGAACACAGAGATTGCAAAAACACATGCAAATCACATGTGGTAGATGTCAACAACAAGGGCACAATGTCAGAACATGTCAAAATGACCCTGTGGAACCTGCCACTACTCCACAAGTTCCAAAACAGGTTTGGTAAATATTATAAGTAAATTTAAAGAGTAATAATATTTTTGTATAACTGTTTGTCACTGGATTTAATGATTTAATTGCTCTTGTCATTTTCAGTCAAAAAGGAAACAACGTGCTCAGACTAGCAATTCTGCACAAGCTCCCACTACTGAAGAATTTCCCCACCAGGTTTGCTGATTTGTTATTTTCCTTGAAAATGCTAAATGTGTAATGATGTATGCTGCAATAGTGTTTCCCTGATCTAGTTGGCCTCTGACTGTCAGGATACAATGCAACAGTCCAGACAACCAGAACAAACCCCTAATGAATTCGATAGAAGAAAGCGAAAAAAGGTAAAATCCGATACATTAATATTCAACTCTGAATATTTTTATACTACTACAGCACCTATGTTTTATTTTATTTTTTCCTTTTAGGGTGCTTCAAGTGTTTCTCAAAATCCTAACAGTGACATTGCCCCAAATGATAATCCTCAACCTCAGGTAATGGTAAACCAAGCTTTATTTTTAACTCATGAAAGCCCACCTAAACTTAAGTATATGTGACTCAAACATGTATTGATTCGAAATCAGGTGAGAAGAAGTACAAGGGTTAGAGAACGACTTTCCACTGAACCACCAATTCCATCAAACGAAAGACCTTCATCTGAAGTCCCGAAACCTGTTCAAGTTGGAGCCCAACCTGTTAATGGAGCTCATTCAAAGAAAAGGAAATTATCTTACCTGGACAAAGTTATGGTCAATGAAAATGCAGAGTACTTGGGTGACCATCCACCTTACAAGGTTGGAAGATGGGCCAGACACAAAGCCACTCGAGTTGGAAAAAGAGACAACTATGCATGAGTCGACCCCTTTGAATGCTAAGCTTGTTCCATTTAAACCATGTCAATTTGTGCTTTTGGAACTTCCAAACCATGTCATTTTGTCATTTTCCTGGATAGGATAGATACTGCTTCATTTTGTTATTGCCCGTGGTAGTTCCTACTAATTTTGGTATCAAACTATGGCATTTTGCTAGAATTGGTGAATGTAGCTGTAAAAATGTCATTTAATGAATTGATATGGTAATTTCTATTTAATGATTTGCTCTACCACTCCGCTTTAATGAAATTTACTATTTGTTATGACATGGTAAAAATGACTCATTTTCTTTTTAAGACAATCATAAAATCTAAATGGGTGTTATTAATTACATGGTTATCACCTTTACCTTCAGAAGGAAAAAAAAAAAAGAGAGAAACGCGGATCATTGGAGGATTGGAACTTAGATTGAAGAAACAAAAGGAACAACAAAAGATTACATAGTTGTCACCTTCAAATACCTCCATGATTTAACATATCATCTACTGTACTTGAACCTAATCAAGCTACACATTTCAAATACCTCCATCAATTTCAAGCTGGTTGCCACCTCCACTAGTAGCCCAACAAATCACAGCGTACAACACCAATATCACCAACAAGAACCTGAACATGTTCAACTGATTTCTAAGATTTGCAATCTCAATTTTCATTCGAACATTTTCCTCTTTGAGTCGTTCTATCATATCTTCTTAATTTTCACCCCGCAACAGATTCAAGCGTTTCCTCAATTGATTAATTCTCCCCAAAAGTCCAGGAATCACTTCGGTTGACCTTTCACACATAGGTGGATCGATCCAAACCCAAAAATGACAACCATGTTCCTACAATTTTGTTTGCATAAACTTAATCATAATCAACATTTTTTGATTTAACAAATCCAGAATTTGCTATTAAATTAAATATTTAGACTATTATCTACATTACCTCATCCACAGATCTCGCGAATCTTCTTCCTGGATTGTCGTCTGTCCACGAAGTGATGATTTTGGACCTCTTGTTGTTGTCGCACCAGCAAAATGGGAGAAAGGGCTCTTCCATTTTTAAAGTTAAATATAGTATATGAATTTAAAGATGATGAGTAGGAAAAAAAATTGAGGTCTCAGATCTAGTTTTGGCTGCCATATATATTATGCTCAAAGTGGAGGGAAAACAAGGACTTCATCCCGGCCAGAAAACAGTGGCGAAAAGTAGAAAAAGACTAAATTGCCCTTTGACCGAAATCACGTGCAGCGCATGTGAAAATTGAGGTTCCGTTATGATTTCACGGCTAAATTTAATAGAATAACCTGAAATGGATTAAAAGTTTAGTAGGATAACCTATGATACAAATAAATTTGATTGATGACCTAGAGTGAAAATACATTAAAGGTTAATGACCTGTTTTGAGGTTCACTCTTTTATTTTCAAGTGCAAGATAATACATCAAGGCTCAAGCTGTTTCATGTAGTCAATTATTTGCAGTTCCATCTTAATAGAACTTCTTCAATTTGCTCAATCCCCCTTGACAGTCATTAATCACCAGCTTCTTCTATAAAGTAAGCTGTGGCATTTTGATAACTTGAACAAAAAAAAGCCATATTCAACCAGAAGCCATACAAAACCACGGACAAGAATCATTCATTTGTGCATAAAATATGATAACACATACAAGTAATAATTTAAGTCTCTTGTAAGTTAAATGTCACCAATTTTCTCAATGGTCATTTGTTGACCAAAGGACTTGTTTTCATCCTCAATTTCAAATACTATATCCAAACTAAATTTTACTCATATAAGGCAGTCAGAAATCCAACTATAAGCAACAAGTTCGAGCAATTTCTCAGTCAACATTTAAGGAAACTTCTTCGGTGATGAATTTGCTCAAATCAAGTTCCAGCAATTTTTCTTCGGACTTTTCATTTTCATCTTCAGTGCAATCTGCAGTCAACCAGTCGCGTGTACACACAATCGCCTCCACATTGCTTCGTAACATAAATGTGCGATACGTCCGTAATATTCTTCCACCGTGACTGAAAGCAGATTCTGATGCAACGGTAGTAATAGTGACACTCAGCATATCTCGAGCCATAAGAGAAAGTTGTGGATATGTCTCTGATTTACTTTTCCAATAAGTTAGAATGTCAAGATCTGGATGTTTATGACTATCTAGCATTGGCTCCTCAAGGTACAATTCCAGCTCGGACTTAATTCCAGTCGTTCCTCCCCAACATTTTATTAAAATCCAAATAAGAAATAGTGGCAGTGTAAGAGCTAACCACAATTACATTAAGCATTCCGACTTCTAAAATAAGGAAAGGAAACTTGATCTAAAATAAAAAATCCATTTACAGTTCTAGGCAACATTTTATCACACGTCCATATATTACTAAGCATATTTTCATGAAAATTCCACCCTCTAATAGATCATAGATTCAAAAGAACTTAAACCTAAACTCACGCATACATTACTGATGTATACACACGTCACTTTCAAAAAGATAAGTTTATACGCTTTCGGCATCAAATCCTTCTTCAAAAAACAAATAGTAAAATAAAATACTTAGTCTTCACCGCATCAGAAAGGGTATAGACAGTGTATTTAAAAAAATAGTGAAATAAAATACTCAACCCACGACACCCGCTCCTTATATAACCAACCCCACCCCAACTCACTCTAACCACCAGCTCGTAGTCACAGCTACATGCCAACTCTCTTTCTCTCACTAGACTGCAGTGCATCTATCTAGAGTCTAAACGTAGGTCATTCATCTATCACTTCAATCAATGGGGAATTCAGCTTCGAAGTTCCTCCAAATCTTCGGTAAGTGTAAAATAGGGCCTATATTATATTTATTTCATATGTTGTTTTTGGTTTGACTCCCATTTTTATTCCTTTTTTATGGATTTGTAAACTTCTTTAATCTAGGATTTTTGTTTTGGTTATCAATTTTGTTCTTTTGATAGATCTGAAACCTTCTTTTAATCTTGGTTTTTGGTTTTGATCTATCTCCTTTACTTTATTTAATTAGGAGGAGTTGCTACTGGTGGTGTAATTCTGTCTCCTTGGTAAGTAGAAGGATCAGATTTTTGGTTTTTTGGGTTTTGTTCCCCTTGCTGTCTCATTCTCTCACAAACGTACTCTTTGATTTGATTTGTTTTCAGATGGGTTATGTGAGACATCATCAATACTGGAAACATCCAAGGCTAGTCAACATACAAGAGATAAATAAAAAACATAGAGTATTACTGGATTGAAACGATGGATAATGATTGGGGTGAGATCGAACATTGGAAGAAAATTTGAGATAGAACAGTTGTATATGTATACAAAATGTAACTGGATTGAAATGATCGGAGATGAGCCCTCCATCTACTGAGTGTGATAAAGAATGAAATTAGGGAAAGTAAAATTAGAAAAAAGTAAAACTGAAGAACAACAAAACCAATGAACATATCATGCAAATAATAGGGTTGTGAATTGGTTTCCAGATGTGCCACTCCGGATGGCATAATGCATAGTTTCCACTAGAAATAGTCCATAACCAATGATAGCAATCTCGTAGACAAACCAAATTTCGTTAACGGAACTACCAACAAGAATGTATAAAAGATGTTTAAAAGTAAAACTCTAAACGAGTGCGGACAAATCACAAATAAACGGATCGTTAATTGCAGGATCAACTACCTTATGAAATCAAACTCAAGTTATAAACATAAAATCCAAATAACCATTCGGATTAAATAATCAAATCACAAAAATTGAACTCTTCAATATAATCGAACAATTACCCATAGAACTGACAACACATGCAATGAGTAAATCACTAGTCAACTAGAAACAATACTATCGATGATAAGACAATTCATAACCAAGGCAAGTGCATGCAAAACACATAAATCGTTATACTATTTCCAAACAAACCTATCTATAAAATAGACAAACTCAACAAGGCATCTTATGCATAAATATCATAAGTAAAACAAAAATAACACAAGCTAAACAAAGCTCAAACCAATCGACACTTACTCAATTCACATACAAGACTATTTGTTTTAGAAAAATTAAATCATGCAAAAGCAAAACATAATAAAATGGTTTCCTCTAAGATCACGTTCCGTTAGACCTCAAAGATAAAGAAGTTTACTAACCATACAACCCCTTTGCAACAATAGATCCCAACCACTGGTAAGAACCATCCAACGATGATATTTCATGAAAAAGTCATAAGACTCATGTTTATTAAAAATATTGACATCATAAACACAATGTGAGATTCGACCATGCCTTTATATATGCAAGCTTTCTTGCTCTCCAAAAAACATAAAACAAACAAAATACTAATTAGATACCTTTAATCCAAGCAATTCCCAAAATCCATCATGGAAACTCTTATACGTGCATACCTAGAGTTGATAAATTCTAAAACCTAGAGTTGAATAATCAAATCAAAAAAATTGAACCCTTCAATATGATCGAACAATCACTCATATAATTGACGACACATGCAATGAGTAAATCACTACTCAACTACAAACAATACTATCGATGATAGGACAATTCATAACCAAGGCAACTAACATGCAAAACACATAAATCCTTATTCTATTTTCAAGCAAACCCATCATTAAATAGACAAACTCAACGAGTCATCTTATGCATAAATATCATAAATAAACCAAAAAACGCAAGTTAAACAAAGCTCAAACCAATCGACATTTACTAAGTTTACATACAAGACTATTCATTTTGAAACAATTAAATCATGCAAAAGAGCAAAACATGATAGAATGGTTTCCTCTAAGATCAAGTCTCGTTAGACCTCAAAGATAAAGAAATTTACTAACCGTATAACCCCTTTGCAAAAATAGGTCACAGCCATTGGTAAGAAGACCATTTAACGATGAAATTTCATGAAAAAAGTCATAAGACACCTGTTTATATAAAGAAAATGCCACTTTTCCTTTCTACCTTCTCGATCCAACACACAGGAAGGAAAGAT